AGGAACAATCTGTAATGTGTAAAGCAGTAGACTTGCATTAATGGGGTCATGAGAAATCAAATTTGCCTTGATCTTTTAGAAAATAAGAGGTCTTTGTACCATTAAAACATCTTCCAAGTTCCATAGCTTAAAATGTCCTCCTCATTGTAAACAAAGCATTTATTTAATCAAGCTCCAAAAACAGCCCGTTTTGGATTCAAGGGGCAAGATGACGTCACCTGGGCGCAGTCGTTCGCATAAACACAAGGCATCGACGAATTGTCATCTTCTCACCATAGGCCCCGCCCACTGGTGTTCAGTCACTTAACGGCTTGACACTTAAAGGGTTAGTTCACCCAAAAATGAAAATTCTCTCATTAATTACTCACCCTCATGTTTCAAACCCGTAAGACCTTCATTCATCTTCGGAACACAAATTAAGATATTTTTGATGGAATCTGAGAGCTGTCAGACCCTGCATAGACAGCAACGCAACTGAAATGTTCCCAAGTCCAGAGACGTAGCAAGGAGATCTGTAAAATAATCCATGTGACATCAGCGGTTCATCCGCAATTATACGAAGCTGCGAGAATACTTTTTGTGCGCAAAAGAAAAAAAAAATCGACTTTATTCAACAATTAGTCTCCTCCGCATCACCTTGTAGCGCCATTTTGGAGAATATCCGCTGGACGTAAACAACGTATGCTGTTCTGTGTCAGCTGCGTCATGCCGGATCTGTTTCCTACGTTGTTGTGATCTGATCTAAACGGAAACAGTGTATCCGTGTGACGCACGGATCGTTTTTTTTTTTCTTTCGAGGATTGATCGGAACATTTTGTTTTGTAAACGAGGCACAGTGTCATGGAGAGTTCACAACCAAACATTTGTTGAAAGATGAAGCGGTACTATATCTGACTGCAGCTGCATCACAAACCATAAGTAAATGATTTCATTATGCTTTGTCTGGAAATTACTGTTTTATTTTGATCATGTTGTCATAACACACCTGCAATAGCGAGGTGGCGTTGATACTGTTTCCTATGCGATGACGTTAGCTAATTGTAACGGTGGCCGATTACTGAGATGCCTTAAAGGACCCGCCCCTTAAAAACAGGTTGTTTCAGAGAGAGTTTCAGAATGAGGGTTGAAAATAATTATTTTTCCACATATTTATTTGTGCAAAAAACTTCATTAACATTGTAAGTAAACCTCAAGGAACATATTAAAATAATAAAAAATTCATGTCATGACCCCTTTAATATTAAATTGCATCCGCAAACAAAAAACAAACATCTTTGGCCGATGAAGACAGGATTTACCGTTCGCTCCTTATTTTCAAACACTTCATTGGCCTCCTCAAAGCTGCAGCTCTCCTCGGCACACTCCCTCTCAATGTTGCCCGGCCGGAACTCCTCCAGGAAGCCATTAGCCCGTGGAAAACGTTTGAGGAGAGAGTTTGCGTCCTTGCCATCTAGGAACGCTGAGAGATCGGAAGACATCGGTATGTTTTATTGGGGGCAAAGGTGTTTCTCTGTTTGTTCCTGTGAGTAATATACGTATGTTTGCCAGTCATATACTCAAAAATGATAGAAAAATCTTTTTTTTTTAAATTCTGATAATCATTTTCCATCCATTTATCGCTCTGCATTACATTGAAGTCAAAACAATAAAAAAAATAAAGCATATTCACAGAAAAATTTCACAAGACCTATAACGTACATTTAGAAAATCAATTTTCATTTCATGCAGAGTATAAAATCTATTTCATAAATGATCAGTACGGGCTATTTCAATGCTGAAATGAGTGCAGCACATCTCAAGAAGGGCTCAAAGAACCCAAAGAGCTTTGACACATCTTCTATTACTTCAAGGTTTTATGTCATTTAACAAGGTGTGCCAAGAACTACTGCACGATTTTTAGATCAGACAGAAATATGAATGGACCCTATTCCAACATCAACATTTTAAGATGAAGTTGTTGAAAACTGGTCCTTACCTGCTGCCATACTACAACAAGAGAACTCAATCTGAATTATTTTGACCTGGGGAGAAGAAAAGATGCATTTAAAGGGTTGGAAAAAGTTCTCTTATGTGCACACTTGCTGTTATTCATCATAATTATGGCCATTTGTTTTTATCAAATGACAGACAAAACAACAAATCAACTGTGAGAATCAGATATGAACTCCAGGCCACTGACATACTAAATATTCTGGTAAATATTCTAATTGGCATATTCTAAAATATAACAAACAGAAAAAAACTGCTGTCACGAAGCTGATATCTTTACTATATAAATCTATATAATCTCTTGCCCTTCTAAGATAATGCTGATGGGGGAGGGAGGAGGGGCGGGGGACGAGGTTCCCATAGTAACGGAGAGGGTAGCTAAGAGAGATGCGCGAGCTAAATTTATATCACTCGAGCTCACTCCTTAACGAATTAATTTAATTCGCGAGTTACTATCGCTTTATCGCACACGAAAAATGCCACCCCAACGCAATTTCACGTTTATTAATGTCTAAAAACCGCATCGAATAAAAAATAACGGAGATAACACGAGTAAGAAAAATAAGACATACAAAGCATACTTGAAATTCTAGATACAAAATAGATTTTCGTCTAAGTGCAAGTGTTTTTAGAAAATATTGACAAAACTATTTAATGTAGTTACATTACCTACGGCCATTCTTAAAAGCGAATAAAATATTAATAAGAGACCAATTCAGTTTGACTATAGTAGCTGACAGTAGTCCTTAGACGGGCTCTCAGTGGGATTAAAGATGTGTATTTATAAAGGCAGCGAAATTTTTAGTTGCCATGGAACAAAACAAAACAATGTATACATTTGTAACTCAGAGGAAGATGCAACATAATAATAAAGCCTACCTTCCAGGCTGTTGCAATTGCTAGTCCATTCCATCCCTGTTTCCAGCTAGGGAGCACCCACATGAGTCACGGATGCCGTTTGATTGACATGCGGATGGACCAATAGGAGTCACGGATTCCCCCTGATTGTCCAATGAAATTTTACGGTTGATTTCGTACACGCAAAGTCATACTTCTTGGGGAATGGGGAAAAATAAACTGGGTAGTGTAGTCTCAGTCTGCACACGCTATACGCTTCTCCGACACAGTTTCTAGAAACCCTTGCATGTTTATGCCCAGACATTAATGTTTTATTCGTATCGTTATGGACGCGGAGTGCCATCAAGTGACATTTTAATTTGAGAAAGAGGATGATAGAGTCAGCATAGAGTCAGGGGTCTCTCTCGATGCCACGCCTTGAGTTAAAAGACAGCATTACCCACAATGCTGAACCGCTCCTTTTTAACTCTGCCTTGCCGCTCGTGATGGAACGGTGTGATTTTTGAAATATCAGTAAGCCACAAGGTTGCAAAACGACCTTTAAACTCACATTTAAATGTAACAACCAAATTAAGCTGTACCATCCTAAATGTCTTAATACTGGCCTACGTTAACAGAAATTTCTAGTAAATAAAACATGTTGGATAAATTAGACATAGCAAATTGCGTACTGAAGCTAATTTCTCTGGCATTGTTATTTTATTATTTTACATTTTTCCCCCACAAAACTAGTTTGAGGTCAAACAATAAGCCATAGGCACCCTGCAGTACCACCATAGTCCCTCTAGGGGTCACAGACCCCCTGTTGAAAACCCCTGATGTAACTCCTGTTATGCTGTAATGTGTTTCTCAGTTTTAAAGTCACTTTCCCTTGTGAAAAATAAGTGCACATAAGTGTATTAAATGCACACTTGTGTACATGAAATTGTAAAAGTATATTTAAGAAGAAAAAAAAACAGTTTTTGCAGATAATATGAAATTAATTAAATAAAAGGTCACAAGTGTACTTAAAAAGAGGACACTTTCATTAGTATATTTAGTAACGGTTTATTTTAAGGTGTCCTTGTTACACATGTTACAAGTAATTACTATTATAATAACAAAACATTATGCATAATTACATGCTAAGCCAAGCCCTAATCCTAACCCTAAACCCATAGTAAGTAGTTAATTAATATTACTCAGTACTTAAATGTATAATTACACTGTAACAAGGACACCTTAAAGTATAACCCTATATTTCTTAACACACTTAAGTACACTTTTAGAAAGTGAAAATTATTTAATTACTATGTTTTAATAATCTTTTGTCATGCTTAATTTTTTTTATGTTAACTAAAAAAACTAAAGCACTTATAAAGTACTTACAGTTAATAAAGGTTAACTCAAATTTAATGCATTTTAAATGTACTAAACTGCAACTTCATTAAATGTGTAATTACAAATATATTTAAATACATGACATACAAATTTCAATCAAAAATAACATGAAAGTATGCTTGTTAGTACATTCAGCAGTACATTATGAAAATGCATTTAAAGATGTACTATTATTTCTGTAATAAGTGCTCATTTTTTAAAATATGCTAAAATGTCATTCTTTTTCTCAAGGGTTTGCAGTATACTATAACACTTTTATGGACTTTATATACTGAACAAACATATATCTTAGAAGTGTTAGAGGCTTTCCATAGCCAAAATGTTCTAACTGTTCTGATCTTTTTCTGGCCCATTGGTAACCACTTCAATGCCCTCCAATAAGATACTGCCTTTTCTCCTATATATATTCATAGAAGTAGCAAAGCTATCAAGTCAGGTCTCTGCTGACCTGTGACTTTAACAGAAAGTCCAACATTCTTAAGGGGACATTGTCATAGTAGAGTGTCCTTTCTTTATCAAAGCTCTTTTGTTTGAAACCTGGACAAACAGCAGAGCCCCTCCTAGTCATCAGATAGGCTCAGAAAACATCAAAGGACTCAAGTGAGTTAAAAAAAGAGACTTATCAGAAGCACAAATCCCAAACAGACAAGGTTTGCACTCATTTAAATATAGATTTTTATTTGAAATCAAAAGTACAAAAGTAGAAAAATATGCCATAAATACATATATACATAAAATGTACATAAATCATATTATTAATTTAGGGATGGGTAATAGAATACAAATAGAATTTTATATACAAAAGAAGGTAAGAACCCTGAGATCACTCTGAAACAACATTTCCCAATGTGGGATTGCATCTGAATTACTTTTATGCAAGACATATCTAAATCTGCATTCATGTAATTGATGTTTCCTGCATAAAACAATCAGTAAAATCACTCTGGTTGTGTGCTCTAGATGCTCATAAGAAACACCATGTCCATGCACTGAATTATTGATGGCACGACTTCTCTAATAGAGCGCGATGTGGCATTATCCAGTGTTGATGTTAAATTTATGATCTTTTCCTCAGCGTAAGGTCACTGTTGCAAAGACGGGTGAGGATGAACATTCAGTTGTAACTGGTGAAGTGACTGTTAAGTTTAAGACACTCCTCAGCGTCGCTGTCGTCATCTTCATCACAGCTGTCCTCCTCTTCCTCGCTGTCTGACTCATCGTAGAAGTTTATGGTGGCCTGCGCTGGGAAATTTCTGAGCAGGGCCTCGCCATCGCTGAAGAGGTAGTCGTAGGATTTCGATCTGGGCCAATACAGCCTAAAGTATGAAGAAATAAATGGGTAAATACAAACTACGCAAACAGAGCACAGAAATGCACTTTTTAGCATGGTAAAATAAGCCTTATTTGGGTTTTAGAGCCAAAATAAAAGCATGTTATAAAACAAAACCATTGCTCAAGCAAAATTAAATGCTCACTGACCTGACAGGGTGCTGGAAGGACTGCATTTTGCCATCTGTTGTAGTGTTACTGGGCATTTCTGGCCTGGAATAAGGCTGGAAAGAGTGAGAAAAGACGTGTAAGACCACATGCACGAAATACAGCTCAAACAATGCTTCCTGTCCAGTGTTTATGAGGTGATATCACTGCCAGCTTCGTGGGTGTAAAACACCCTGGGCAGGATGCAAAAGCTGTGACATGGAGGGTGTCAGACTAAAGTGTTTGTGGGAACCTGGCTCCAACTCCCTTTCCCAAACCTAGAGGTGTCTGCTTAAATCTTGGCAAGCGATCGCTTGCTCTCTGGGAGCTGTTTTCCCCTACACCTCGTCTCTGGGCACAGACTCAGTGTTCACACTCAGACAGTGGTGCCATATGGCTAAGTGTCTCAGCGCTAGAGCTGCTCAGTTTGCCTTTGCGTCACTGAATGGCTTGGTGTCAATGAAACACCTCCACAGTCACACAATCTGCAGCCTAATGCTCACCACATGCCTGTCTGTCACCTTAAAGCTACCTGCTGCTCTAAAAAAACTGTATGCCATACAAACAATTGAAATCTTCTGTGCTGTAAAGTTGAATTAACCCGCAGCGTAACGGTACCATGTGTTTTCTGAGCTTAATAACATTCCTATAGCCTACAGATGGACATTCTATTGAAATATTAGAATTGCAGTGGTGGAAAAAAACTTACACAAGCCAACTTGGTTCTCTGGCATTCAGTTTGTGCATCCTTTCTTGTCATGAGCCATGGTCTCCACAGGCAAGCTGGGCTGTGGATCGAATGAGAGTAATATTTTAGATGTGCATCTAACAGGTAACCTCTAAATAAAGAATAGAATAGAATAGAATAGAATATAGAATAGAATAGAATGCTCACCTGCTAGACTGCTGGATGTCAGTGTTCATTGTATTGGAAACAGGAGCTGCAATGCACACAGAATTCATTTCTTTTTCACTTTTTTGCTGGGCGATAATTCCCAAATAGTCCTGTTTTGAAAGATCTCTGAGAGATGGACGCCTTGGATGTGTTGTTATCCTCCGCAGGGAAGCGAATGAATGAAGAAGAGTCGCTCTCGGGGTTTTTATGGAGCTGGAGCTGCAGGGGCGGGGCTGGACGATGGTGCCGATGCCAAATGATCCGAGGTTGTTTTAAGAGGGGGTTTGGTGCTGTCTGCCAAATCATTGGGATAGAGACTGCTATGGACATTTTGGTGTGAAGACTTCTCCAGTTGTATAAACAGTGCGCCCCTGCGTGAGGGTGAGAAATCTGGTACCGTGAGGTTATTGCAACAACATGGAGGGGCAAACTTACACACCATCTGCGAGAAAGACGACGGGGGTCGGCACAGGAGTGGAGCCATATATAATATAGGCTAGGCTAGTTAGTTATAAGGTTTAGGACTACGCAGGCGTGATCAAACCATACATAAAACCCAAAACGTGTGCCCTATATTCTTATACTTATCTATACAACGTTCGTATGAATTCTCTGTAGGCTTAGCCTATATATTATTTTATTTATTTATTTTAGATTTTAAGTTCTGTCCCCTGTGTTCTTGTTAAAATGATGAAATAATGTAAATAAAACGCATCAATAAAAACACTACTGACGTCATCTTATTGAATTGTAGTACTTTTACCCGTTTATTTATTACCCGTTTTTGATTTTGTACAGCAACCGACTGTAGAAATTCTTTATTCTCTCAATTCTAAACTCTTTTTTTTTTAAGGCTAGGCTATAATATAATAACATCATGTAGTAGGCTAGCAGGGGCTAATTGTAAACCCTCTTCTTTTAAAGGCATAACTACCCAACACAGACCTATAGGCATTTTATTCTTTAGCTTAAGATTGTATAAAACAGTTGTATAAAACTGGATTTTCTTTGAATGACGTATACCCCTACTTTTATTTAGATTTTCTGATGAGCCGTCTCTGCTGTCTGTGGCTCCTTTAATTATTGCCTTCTAAAACTGATCTGAAAACAGCTGTTAACTTAAACACTTGCAGGAGTCACCAAACGCTGAAGAACTAAAGCCGATCCGCGGTCAGTTCGAGCGCGTCTCGCGCTGTTTGTCTAAAAGCACGCGTTCACACTTCAGCCCGTTGAAGGGTGCAAAATATCTCACTAAGCGAATTTAATGAGGTCCTAATGGGGGCTTGATGGACTTCGACGCTCCATTTGGAGGAGCAAATTTGCTAGACTGCGTCACTCCGACCTCCTATAGGGCCAGCAAACTGACCCGCGTCAGGCAAAAGGCACAAATGGACAACTCAAGATAGCGGCGAGCAATTGCTTAAACATACAGTTGAGATAAAAGATAATGCAATGAATTAATTAACGGTTGTGTTTTCGTTCACTTTAATCTAGTTAGAAAACGATGTGACGGACAAACTTGCAGTTAATTTGCAGTTAAAAAGTTAATTTCCTCAAAGTCACGAGATAGGCCTATGTAAATTAAACGAGTCTAATAGGCCACAGATTACAGCAATTAAAGTAATTTAAAGGATCAAAGCATACAGATAGATAGATAGATAGATAGATAGATAGATCCTAAGAAACTAAATAAAGCACAGAGCAGCAGACACAGGCAAAAGGCACAAATGGACAACTCAAGATAGCGGCGAGCAATTGCTTAAACATACAGTTGAGATAAAAGATAATGCAATGAATTAATTAACGGTTGTGTTTTCGTTCACTTTAATCTAGTTAGAAAACGATGTGACGGACAAACTTGCAGTTAATTTGCAGTTAAAAAGTTAATTTCCTCAAAGTCACGAGATAGGCCTATGTAAATTAAACGAGTCTAATAGGCCACAGATTACAGCAATTAAAGTAATTTAAAGGATCAAAGCATACAGATAGATAGATAGATAGATAGATAGATAGATAGATCCTAAGAAACTAAAGCACAGAGCAGCAGACAGCGAGGGTGACAATAAGAGATAGGTATGTTGTTTATTCTGTTCATTTGGGAGTGTTCTGGCTTATGGGGGTCTGTCTAGTCCCAGTCTGTTTTAACATTTGCTGATCTCAGAGTCTTGGAAACCCCCTGCCACTAACGCTCTTAAAAAATCTTCTCCCCCATGGTCAGGAATGTCAGTAATCACCAGCCCACTGCTCCCCAAGCCTGACCAGTGTGTGCTTTTTTTAAGCAAGTCAACACGAATCTTTAATTTAAAATAACAAGAATTGGACTAGTTAGAGCACGCAGTGTATATCAGTTCTCCCCAAGAATTCAACAAAAGTGAAGATCTCTGATTTGTTGTTTTGTCTTGTTCTTGTAATTAAGTACTGCAGAGTCAAATACATTTCTTTTGTCTTTCTTTTTTATGAAAGATATGAATTGATATGTGACTAATACATGACACTAAAGTGTCAGTTTAAACTGTTTATTTAAAAGTTAGCGTCTAGCTCGCTAACAAACTGGGTTAAAAAGTATTGGTCTGATGAAGTTATATGTTTTAAAAATATTTTAATAATGTAGTGACCGGCACATAACCTTTCCCTCAAGCCGAGATTGACTTAATCATTTAGATCACAGCACTGGTAAATTCCAAAATACACGTAATGGATTATTTCAGAGGAAATTCCATGGCTTATTTAAATGTTAACCGATTTCACACATCTCAGATTTACTAAAAAAACACACTGCTTTTGCAGTGCCTCCTTTTGAAATATTTCACTTTTTGAATTGAATAATGGTGAAACTTATTTTAAACTATGAGGAAATAACTGGAAAATATGTTTGTATGCATTTGTATGTCTTCCTTTTACATTTTTGATTCTTTATACATAAAAGTAAAAAAATAAATGAAAAACAAATTACTTGAATGTACAAAATTATATAAATCAAAGAATGTCTTCTTTTTTAAATATTTCACTTGCCTTTTTATATTTAAATAGTTGCTTGACTGATGCAGTATTACTTCAGTGTTCACAACATTGTCAGTTTCAAACCTTAAACTATTGCATTAAATACAGTGCTTAAGCAATCTGTGTTGATTGCTTTTCTTAAAGCTACAGACCCTCATCGGCCCTCTAAAAGGGCCAACATTCCTCACTGTAAACCAGTCAAGAGCCAATAGCATTATTATTACAGAAGATTCTTTAGATGCATTGTCAATTAAAACTTTTTTATTACAGTAAAACTACATTTTTAGTGCAACTATAAGCATTTCAGATTAGTTTAGTTGCCCATAAGTTAAATAGACCTATTGACTCTTGACCCCGACGAATGAACTAGAGTGGTTTCCTTACCTACTGATGCATGTCTCCTGTCATCTGACTAGTGAAGTGAAAAAGTGCAATTTAGAATGTTTAACAAATGTTATCAACATCCTGTGAATAAAAGTAGGTAAATTAGCTTTTCACTCTTAATTAAACAAAATTGAATGGGTCTGTTTAACTGAATCAACATAAATGCCAAAATTCAGAAAACTCAAAATAAAACTAGCATTAGCATTTTTAAAACAATGCTATGAAATATCTCATGGTACAGCTGACCTTTTCTCAGGGTCAGAGTGTCCAGCGATGTTCATTCCAGTGACCCAGTCATTCTCACGTCTACACAAGCATCACACTACTACACTGCTCTCATCTGAGGCGGTGTGTGGATGACACCTCATGAGCACACTTCTCTCACCCTCTCTTCTGCTCCGTCCATGTTCCAGGACCGGCATCAGTGTTCCCACATCAGCACCAACATTCTCACTTCTCAACTCTGAACCTCACTGATGCACATTCATCATGCAATCAGGAACAGAATGACGGAGCCCTGAAGCTGAATGAAAGTTAAAGGGATAGTTCACCCAAAAAATCATCAAATGTGTTCTACTGAAGAAACAAAGTCACCTACATCTTGGATGCCCTGGGGGTAAGCAGATAAACATCAAATTTTCATTTTTGGGTTAACTATCCCTTTAACGTAGTGAATGAAGTTAATGTTATTAGAAAAACCTCCAATAGGGGGCAGTCTGCTCAAAATGATTAACTAAGACTGTTGAAATCCTTTGTTTTTAGGATCCTTTTGAACCATATGAACACAATAATTCAACCTAATGTTTTATGTTAATTTAGTTTTTTGTCAGTTAATGTTTGCAATGATTATTTTATGATTTATAGTTTTTATTTATTTATGTTTTTAGCCATCTGCAGTGAGGCTAATGGTTCACTCAAGAATCTGGTGACTACAGATATTCACACATGGTGCCATCAATGACATCAAAGATCACTAGTTTTATGTGTGTCATAATAGTTTTAACTTTAAAGCCACAATAAAGAGGTTAAGAGTTAACCGGAAATTCTGTGTGTTCCTCACAAAAACCTTCAGGGGTTTTGGAATATATCAAGCAAGTTATATGGATTACATTTATGGTAGTTTTATAATACTTTTTTTCAAATGGTTACAATATATGTTCATTGTATGAGAAAGAGCAGCAAGAACATTTATTTTTGTGTTCCACAGAAAGAACAAAATAGTGATAATTATGGGGATGATTGTGGTGAATAAATGATGAATGAATGTTATTCTTCTTTTGTGTGCAAAAAGTCATTATAAATGAAACATTTCAGAGAAATTGCATATTTGATTCAGAACCTGGATGACATTATTAGATTATCATAGACTTTAGTCAGGGCAGATGCCATATTGAACTTTATGTTAATGAAAACCAGGCTGTGAGGGATAGACTACAGACTTCACAATAGTACATACTGTGTAAAGTTAGATCACATCATTTTCAAAACTCACAACTTTCAAAACTGTTTCATGGAGAGTTTGTCTACTGAAAGTTTCTCTGGGAAGATGATTTCTCAGATAAACAATTGGCATGTTAATGAACTACAGTACAAATCCATCGAATACACCGTACTCTTATCACTCTCAGCCTCATTTTCACTCTTGTCAAAACTTAAACATAGTGCAACCCTGACAAAAGTCAATCACATTATTATCATGACAAGTAGCCATTGAAAAATGAAATGTTTATGATCTTCCATTATAAGGCAGACCTTTTCTCAGGGTCAGAGTGTCCAGCGATGTTCATTCCAGTGACCCAGTCACTCTCACGTCTACACAAGCATCACACCTCTGCTCTCATCTGAGGCGGTGTGTGGATGACACCTCATGAGCACACTTCTCTCACCCTCTCTTCTGCTCTGCTCTCTCCACTGGCACCCAGTTATACACAGAACCTGCATCACTGTTCCCACATCCGCACCTACACACAAATAAACACCGACCCTGCTTTAACCCAGAGTAGTTTAGAAGCATGGCAGACTGTGTCAAACCGAATTTATTGTATAGAATAAATATAAAAAATTATAAGTATAATTGGGGAGCAATTCTCACTATTAATAACTACGACTTT